AGGTGTGTAAAGTATACCAAAATGTTCCACTTGCTCCGGCTAGTATTTTGATATACTTTACTACCCGGAACGATCATGGGGAGCCGAGCTACGGTAGGCGCGGGTGAGCTGAGGGGGGGGTATCTGGAGTTAAAAAACCATAAAACTTAAAACCTTTAAAAAATAATGAAATGTTCGAAAATTCTGGACTTTTTCGTCAAAATTGTATAAAAAATGACCAAAGACGGTCAACATTTTTGAAGTTTCAAAGTTTTTAACAATTCGGATTTTGGTACTCTTCGGAACGTAAATTCGGAACTCTCTATGCTTGAAAAAGGCACAAAAACTAATATAACTGGCGTGAAAAATGATTTCAATTCCGTATCAAACTAGACCGTACTCCTGGGGTAGGGCGCCGACGGTGGTGATGAACACGAGCGATCCGATGAAGATGATCATCAGCAACAGGCGCTGTGGCGACGACGGGTGGCCGAACATCAGAATGGACGGCTGGGGTGAGACGAGAATGAGTTCGTCGAGTTCCGGTTTGCATTTATGTGCGAAAACTCTTACAAAATAGGTAGCGTTTCCGGCACGGAAATTTGCAAATGCAAATTCAAAGTACAAAAAGTCGCTTGTCCTAAAAATCATCTGCCCCATATTTTTTCAAAACTCTCATCTCTTTGTCTCGCTCTCCCTCTCACTCTCTTTCTTTATCTCGCTCTCTCTCTCTATATCTCGCTCCCTCTCTCACGCTCTCTCTCCCTCCCGCCCTCTCTCTCTCTCTCGCTCTCTCTCTCTCTCTCTCTCTCTCTCTCGCTCTCTGCATCTCTAGCTCTATCACCTCTGTCTGATCAGTGCCAATCGGAATTGGTGGCGCCTCTGTTGTTGGGGTCGTTTGTTCCTTATGAAAAGGTGTGGAAATTCCCTAAAAGCGAGTCTTTGCCGATTATAAACTTGCTAAGTCAAAATCGTCAAATATCCCATCATCCTCACTCTGGTGGAAGTGCTGAAATCAAGAAATCCTACTATCCTACTATATATTAAAAACTAGTGTGTGTGTGTGTGTGTGTCTGTGTAGATTTGCATCCACTTCCGGATGTATGTTCCGTCGCTCGAAAGTTTATTTCTGTACAGCCGATTTCTCGGCCGTCAGGCCGAATTTCGAGCTGATTTTTGTTTAAGAAAATCCTTCATTTAACGATTTTATAAGCAAAAAAAAGTAAAAATTCCTTAACAAAATGGGTTTCTGCCGCGTTGTCCGGAAGTTTTCTCAGCGCCTAGAGGGAATTGGGGCCTCATTTTTGGAGGGTAGCTGGGAAAAGTAGTTCCCCAGATTTATTTTTTCGGATTTTGCAAAATTTTTTAAAATAAAGTTTTTATAAGGATTTTTCTGGAAGGTCCTTAATAAATCGTGTCACGGGCGGTGGTGTCCAGGGGATATCTCAATACTATACTTCATCGTCCCCCCGGGGGGGATCCCCCCACAAGGGGGACCAGGGGGGACCGCAAGGGGGGATGGTGGGGGACCCAGGGGGGACGGTGGGGGATGGGGGAGGGGGATCCCCCTCCCCTCTCCCCTCCCCCCCCGCCCCAGTTTTTCTGGCACCCGTATTGCGTAGTCGGGAAAACTAAATCGAACCTTCTAGTTGGACACAAACGTTTTTTGGATAGTCTGATGTTTTGATGTTTAGATTAAGTTTTTTACTTTTTAAAATTAATGACGAATTCGAAAATTCTGGTTTAGCCCGCCCGACAAAACAGATACTAGAAAGCTCTGATTTACCTGAGAGAGAATCGATGGAAAATTAGAGTGTATACCAACCCAAAATTTTAAATAATTGAAAGGCTGGGCACTCAAATCTTTGAGACTGTAAAAATTTAAAAATTAGGGCAAATTAGCTCGTTGGGGCTCTCGGCATTTCAGAACTTTCGACAACCACATGCTGCTGTATTTTAAATTATCAAAAATAGCAGCTCTTTAACAAGTATTGAGATCTATCTAACCACACATTGCGCGCACTTGCGAGTCGGGGGATCCCCCCAGTGGTCCCCCACCGTCCCCCTGGGTCCCCCCACCATCCCCCCTTTGCAGTCCCCCCCTGGTCCCCCCTCGTGGGGGGATCCCCCCGGGGGGACGACGAAGTATACTCAATACACATCGCGATTTTGGACCTGTATTTTTGACCACTTATGCATTCAATGGCGAGGATCACGCGCATTTGACAAAATTCGACCAGGCGCTAGCTAGCGCCGCAGGCTCAAAGATTAGCGCTACGCTGGCTCTGGCGCGGCAGGCCAAAGAATGGTCTGACTCAGGTTATGCCGCAGGCTAAAAAGAAGCTATTCAAATTCATGGTTCCTGGACGGGGTCCAGTGGAAAAAGGCCGCGAAGCGGTCTTTTTCCACTGGTTCAAGGATAAACAGCACGCGTCTCCCGGATCTGAGTTGATAAGGGAAAACACGGCCCTATTTTGGAACCGATTTTCAAGGCCCGAGCAAGGCATGGCCGTGGGTTTTCTCGGCTATGGATTCCCTAGAAATTTAGCAGCGCGACACAGAGTGGCCTAAAACTTTCCCTGTCGAGCCAGGTTGGCCTGGTAACAGAAAATAACGTTTTTTTTGGCTATTTTTAGGGAAGATCTTTCGCATTATTGGGCGGGGAGATCATTATCCCTAAAAATACAAAAAATTCGAACAGAAATGGCTGGTTTCTACTTAAATTTTTGCTCGGTTTTTATGGTTTTTCCAATTAAAATCCAGATACATTTTGCTAAAAACATAATTAAAATGCGTAGTTTTGCGATACTAGGCATTTCACGGGTCGGGATTGCCTAATTAGGTTAGGGGAAAGTTGGCTGGAAAACGCGAGAGGGGCGGGGGAGCGGCTCCGGGGGTTACGGTGGAAAGGGCGCGCCATAGCAATACCGGAGCGGTCGTCTGTGCGGATCCCGACCCGTGGCATTTCTGGGCTTATAGAAAAATATGGGTCCCCCCAAAAGTGCGAAAGAACCTTTAGTAAAGCTATATTTTAAATGGAAGCACTATCAAAAAGCTTAGAAAATGCTGAAAAAGTTCAAAAGTGATTTTGGGTAGACAAAAAAAATCAATGTTGCCACCCAAAACCAAATTTTTCATAAAATTTGCAAAGTTTTGATTCTCTGGAACGGCTGAAAATCATGTACCAACTTTTCTGTGTGCTGTCTGTAAGGAGCAAAAGCTGAAAACATCGCAAAGCGCAAAAATTAGAAAGTGTAATTTGCATTCTCCGACGGAAGCTGGGTGAAATTTGCATATTTAGCCCCACCCATAGGCAAAATCCAGAGCTGTGAGAATCACTTTTGCTCTCCATCCAGCTGATGTTCGGTCGTCGACACAACAACGGCGGTGGTGTGGTGGTCGTGTGGCTGCTCTTCAGCCTTCTCCACGCATCGCCCTCCTCGTCTTTCGGCTCGTCTCAACACATCATCGACAGCAAGTCGTGGGTTTCGAGTTTGAGTTAGAGTTCAGTTTACCCACCCCCCCCACCAGCCGGCATCCAACTCGTGCATCTCGGCACCCTGTTCATCTACAGGCATGTGAAGTATACCAAAATGTTCGTCTTGCTCTTGCGAGTATTTTGGCATATTTTACCGACCTGTAGATGAACAGGAAACCGAGATACGGTAGGTGGCGGTCGGATGGGGGGAAGGGGGTATCTCGAGTCTTACCAAAATTTCTGGCTGGGAGCCTAGGCTTCCGCTCGAGTTTCTTGCCAACCAACACCATTCCAGACCTCTCGGGAATGTGGCTGCGGAACCGGAAGCTGCCCACGAGATGCTCGGCAACATGAGGGGTCCGGCACCGGGACTCTCGATGAACCCCCCAGGGCGAGTGAAACGTGCAGACGTGCGTTTGTCGGAGTTGCAGAAGGTTTTCCTGAACGATTTAGTGTAAGCACTCGAAGACTCCTTTCGTGTGCGTGGCAAAGTCGATCCTAGACCAGTTGGGTCTGCGACACAATCTTGGGGCTATCGAGGTTTGAGACGTCGCTGTTGCCTTCTAGTATTGTTCAGTGCATTGCGTGTGAGCTGCCGGAGTGCGAACTCGAGCGTGACGGAGGCTGGATCTTCACCGCTCTCAACAAAGGGGTCCAACCGCTCGCATCCTGCGATCCGACCAGCCTTCTTTGTGTAAGCACCGTTTTCTATACCTAAAAAGTGAGGACTTAGCTGGTTATGCAGGGTGTGCTAATTTCGATCTTTGGCCTCTACCTGTTCATAAAACATAGTATTTTGGCTTTTGGTATCGGGTCCGTCATTCTAGGCCCATTTTTGCGCTAATTTCGACTCAGCAAAATGAGAGATCTCTAAGGCTAAAAAGTGTCTTTTCAAAAACGGGCTTTTGGTTTTCGCAAAAAGAGACGAATTCTCGTGGCAACAAAAGTGCTAAAATCTTTTCAAACTCTTAAAAATGCCATAAAATGTGGGAACAACAAAAAATTTCTTGGACTCTTACCATTCAACTCGCCGCGAACCCTAAAAGATCACTAAAATCTGCTCAAAAAAAGTTGGTCGCCGTCGTGAATTTTGTCCCTTCGCCAACGCGCCCTCACCCCCTCCCCTGTCACGTCTTTCCCATGGGCTGGTGGTCCAATGCGCTTGCCGTAGGCGAGTGGTGGGGGCGAGGAGGAATCCCAACCCGAAATTTGCGTTCTTATGGGCCAAGAAAATACTAGCCTGTCTCCCCACCCCGTCCCGGTAAACGGGAAGTGCCCTTGTCCGTTTTTTTTGTTGCATGCCAATGATTCAAATTAGACTGAGGACAACGGCGAGAACTGTCTGCGCCCCGTCAAGCTTGGATCCGGAAGCGATGGTGGGACCTTTTATCTAGATCTATAACAGTATTCGAGCTTGACCTACTCGTACTTTTACTCTTTATCTCAAGCTTGATAAGTAGACCGAGTATTACATGCTACGCAGGCTTATATTTTGATTGTAGAATACTGGATGCTGTTTCCCGTCAATGTCTGCACTCGCGAAATGGTCCGGAATGGCGAGTGTCCCATGGAGAAACTGTTCGTTCCTTTCCTTCTGCGGTGTACCGACACGGTTCTTGCTTCAGGAGCAGCGACCCCTATGACTTCATCAAGCTGGAATACTCGACCGCGTATTTTATGCAATGTGACGACAGCTGGATCCTGCCCTCGTGGGTGTCACGGCATTCCAGGGAGGCACGGATAGGACCTCCCGGCGCCGCGGCGCAATCGGTTAGCGCCGATCCCAAATGCCGAACAGAGGGTCCGGGTTCGACCCTCGGGACCAACGTGCAACCGCTATTTCTCGACAAAATCTTTACCCAGCTTTTGCGTTTTGCTTAAAAAAATGTGCTTGAGCTATATAAAAAACTGCTAAAACAATAAGGATCTCGAAAAAATTAGCCCGATAAAAAAAGAGACTGTTGATCCACTGGCGTCGATTTTTGCAAAACAGGATAAGGAGCCATTATAAGCGCCGACTTCACGCGCCGGGGGGTACTCGACCTTGATTTTATCAAATCTAGGATCAGATTTCCACGACAATGCTTGGTTTCTGCGCTATTTAAACCCGCACAGAATCCTGACCTAAACTGGCGTCTAGCACATTTAAATCTAATTGAGTTTCTAATTTTTCTATTAAAATTTCGAGAAAAATACAATTTTGTTCAAAAGTTTGTTCATTTTCGAACAAAAACGTAGCGAGCGCGCTGTCCTCTTGTGCAAGGGAGCCTGCCGTAGCCCAAAAGCTATCCGTGCCTGTCTGTTGAAGCCTGGAATGGCGTGGTGTCATTGGACGATCCGCTGGAGCCCCTAATCCGCTTTTTTTGCACACATAGTTTCAGGACGGCCGGCGAATCCGGATGCATCCCAAGTTTGCACGTCGCGGGAGGCCTCGCACCGGACGACCCGGAAGTATTCCCCGGTGAAGTCAAGGATCTCGACTACAACAGGATCAAGGATAAGGTTGCCACCCATTTACGGACACACCATTAACGTTCGGCCTTTTAGTTTTGTCGTGTGGGTGTTCCGGCGAATGGCGACTGTATTCTGCCTCCCCTTTCCGGGTTTAAGTGGGTTAAAACGAAAACTTTTCTTTTTCTTTCTTTAACCTAAGTATTTGCCTAAACTCTCGTTTACCTAAGATAAATAACTTTTTAAAGGGGGCAACAGTTGTTTTCAAGTATTTTCGATTGCGTGTCCGCGAAACAACGGAAATTCCAGGCTGCCGAAGCGTCTTGAAGATGCTGGCTTCAAAGAGGCGATGGTAACCCCGTGCAGCTACAAGCAACGCGGCGAGAAGATTGAAAAAGATTGCGTGTTGCTGGACCTGATGATGGACGGAAAGGTGGTGATTGCCGATCGGAATGGGGTGGGTGCTTGTTTCCTTGAGTTTTTTACTAGGATCCGGTCCATTAAACGTTAGCTTTCCAGTATCTACCTGAAATCCCCTCCATTTCAGCATGGCCCGTATGCGACGCTGCAATCCCGAAACGACAGCCTGACGATGACCTGGAAGGTCGATAACAAATACCCGTACAGCTTCCCCCGTTGCATCGATCTGTCCAACCAAGTCGGCCTGCCAGTATCGGTCTCGGTTTTAGCCCGCACCGCGCTAACTTTTCAGGAAAATCACTTTGACACGGCCGTCAGCGACAGCTTTCTAAACTGCGCCAAGAACCCCTACTACGCGAGGGCGAAGGAGGGGCAGATCACCATCGACAGCGTCGAGCCGTTCAATTGCAACACGGACAAGGAGCTCCGCCGGGTACGTGATATGATAGACGTGGGCGCTGGGTAGCTACTACTTGCCGGCTTGGTACTAGGCCAGGCTCGCCGGAACCGCGATCATTTAGGGGCGCAAGAACCTAGCGTAAGTTTTTGCATTTGCTCCCCCGGGGTGTCCCAAAAAATCAGCCTTCTCTAGCGGTCCCGAACAATCTCCGAAGGGCAAAATCTAGATGCAAAACAAAAAAAACAGCGCCGCGGGCGAAAAAAGTGGAGTAAAACTACAATGAAAACAGCGCCGCATGCGAAAAAAAAGCATAAGCATAAAAGCGGAAACAAAACGCATAAGGGACCTTTATGTCTTTTTTTTGGTAAACTTTTACCCGAATTTACCCAAGTCTCTCATCAGTTTCTTGTTTCAGCTCCTCTGCCGTACTACCAACCAAACATTGACATCCGCCGCCGAGGCGAGCACGAAAGCCGCTCGCTCTCGCATACTTGACTACGTCTCCTGGTTTGAGTGGTGGACTTGCGGTTGCTTCTTCCTCGGTGCCTTCGTAGCGCGTAGGTTTCCCCCCGAACCGAGCCCCAGGGCCCATGACGTCTGTGATGTCATCGATTTAGCGCTGCTCGGCTTCGCGTACATCGCATTTCGTTCGCGATCCATTCCGGTACCGGTGGTGGAGACACAGCCAAAATGGAAAATCCCCTCCAAGGAGTCCCTGGCGGCCATCGACAAATTTGTGAAAAACGCCTGTAAAACGGTATGGCATTGTTTTGTTGTTGCTGATTGGGTTTGTTGCCCGTGGCTTTTAGAAAGACCTGCTCGATGACTGTCTGCCACCCGGCATGCCTGACGAGGCTGAATGTCAAGTGTTTATGGAGCACAAAGATGAGAATCGGTGCCAGGTGAAAATTTGTTTTTCGATTTGCGTTTTAATGTTTAAAATTTCGCCAAGATGCCGAAAAATTTACGTCGATATTTTGGCTAATTTAGCAAAAATCAGGGTTGAAAAACCGCTACGCGGCTTTTCAATCCCGCGAAGCGGTTGAGGAAAAGAGGGAAGCCGGGGGAAAAATTCGCTGGGGGAAACCAACTTTTTTTCCTGTCGACCCTGGTGCGGGATAGTAAATAAATATAAAGTGTTTTCATATTGTTTTTAGCAAAATTTAAGCCTTTTGGATCGGAAAAACTTTTTAAAAAGTTAGAAAAACGAGTCGAAAATTTGGTCATTTTTAATTAAATTTTGTAAAGTTTTTATGTTTAGGAATAACTATAAACAATTTAGAAACACTTCCACTATTTATATAAAAAATTTTGGCTTGGGCCGAAAAAGTTCGTTCCCCGCCAATCCTACGGCAAGCCAGAGACGGGGGAGGGGGGGCTGACAGAACGACGCACGACATTTCGGCGCCGCGCGAAAAGAGTGGGGAGGGAGCGGAGAGGTCATGGTCACTAGAGACGCTCTTTTTTGGGGCACCCTGTATGTTTTTTTTCTCCAGACTACCCGGCTGCTGGACAAATCCCGGTACAAGATTGAGGGCGACGATAAATTCTACATCAATGCCAGCAAATTCAGCATGAAAGGTACGTCAAGGTTTCAGCTGAAAAGCGCGTGTAGCTATGGGCCGCGTAAGCGTCGTGTCCAAAATTTTACGAATTAGGTGTCTAGCGAAAGCTCTCGATGCGCTGAGGACTTATGTTCTCTCCGATTTTTTTTAAATTCCCGAATTTTTAACCCGGTTTTTATAGTTTTTTTGGGCATAAATTACGCAATTTTCTGCCAAACTCAATTTAATCGTTTTCAGTCCCGCCCAAGCTGTGTTTTCTCAAGTGCGTTTCAGAAGGCCGGCCTTGGGCTGCCAGGAAAGATGTCAAAATTTGGAAAACGGGGTTTTTGTTAAAAACACTTGCATGGGAAAAAGCATCGAAAGTTCGGAGAATTTCGCAAAAACGTCAGCAAATCCTACCTTATATAATTTTGGGGTGTATCTCTGTGGGTGTGTCTTCTTCTTTTCTTGAGGCGTCAGTGTGTCCGAAGCCGAATTCAACTCGAAGGGGAAAGGAGCTAGAGCTTAACTCTCTTCGGATTCGGATAGAGCTTGGTCAGAAACCCCAAACTGATAAAAAAAATTATGAAAAAGTTTTAGTTTAAATTATTAAAATTAACTCTGAAAGTTTTTTCTTTAGTAAAAGGGGTGGGGGATGGAGGTTGGGGTGATTTTGGACATAGTGAGCCAGGTGGCGTGCGTTTCCTGAATGAAAATTTTCACGGGAGCCATTTCATTTCTATTTTCCTCCCACGTATCCGGTAGGTCGTTATTTTTGTTTTTAAAGGGCTAGTTCAACTTTTAGAGCTTGGGCTGGTACCTTGGGAAACTATGGACGTAGGGACAGTGCGCCCGAACAGTCCCCGATTATGACAGCTATTAGAGATCGGGGAAATGAGAGAGGCGCAGACACAAAAACGTAGAGAGAGACTCCTTGCCGCGGAAATTCTTTTGTTTTATTGGCTGACTAGCCCTTTAAGGGGCATTCGCCTAGGGGAGGTATCTAAAGCCACCAGGAAGGTATTTAGGCAGTTTTTGAAGGGGATTTCAGCCATGGGGGGTATCTAAAGCCATCTGGAAGGTATTTAGGTTGTTTTTGAACGGGATTTCGGCTATGCGGGGGGGTATTGATGGAGGTTGGAAAGGATGTGGTGGAGTGGGAAATGTAGGGTAGCCCGAAGGCCAGATGGTTGCAGTCGCGAAGCGAAAGTAACCATCTGGTTGGGTAATAAACCGATGACTTTCCGAGTGTCCCGGATCTGTTTCTGGGTGTTCCGGTCAAAGTTACGGCCCAGGTCGAAAGTTTCGACCACAAGCGCGTCAAAGTCTCGACCCGGGTCGACAGTTTAGCCGCCCACAATCGGTTCGCATAATCACTCTATTTATCAAAAGCCACGTGAGAAAGTTAACCAAAGCGGAGAAGGTGGAGCGGGTCTTTTTTGGGTGACCCCCCTGTCTGTCTAACTGAATGGCATTTGTAGTGGAGGGCCGTGATCGCTACGAAGGACATCATCTCCGGAACATCATCTTCTGCCGCGCTATCCTCCAGACAGTCCAATTTGCCTATTGGGTGGGTGCCTGCTGCCTTATTAGAATCGAAGAAATGGTAGAAGCCCTCGACTGTCGATCTGTCAAACCCCATTTGCAGGAAAACATTGACTACTACGTGTTGCAATCTGCAAACGGCACCGGCACTGCCGCCATCTTCGCCATGGTCTACGTCATCATCGAGCGGCTGCGGAACGGCATGGAAACCACGGTCCGTTTGACCGAAAACTCACAAGCCATGCGTTTCCGTTAGGTAGCTGAGGTGCTCGAGGAACTTCGCACCCACGTCCCGGCAGCAATCGCCACCGCCGAGCAGTACTTGGCCGTCTACGCATGCGTCCTCATGTATACCCAGGTATCCTTTGTTTTGTGTGGCGGACTTTTTTTAACGTAGAATTCGTCCGATTCCGAAAACAGTCCGAATTAACAAGTGCCGAATACTTGTATACTAAATTTTTGATGTTTTTATTCTTGGGTACTCTGGCAGAACGATGCAAAATAAAGGTGGTCGTAGGTATGGCCAGCGTAGCGTATAGGGTTGAAAAGCCGCGTAGCGGTTTTTCAACCCTGGTCAACGTTAAAACTGGCTCGATAACGGTTTTAGACGTTAAAGCACGATTTAATGCAAAAAAATTCCGTGTTTTTGGGCAAAAAGCAAAAGGAATTGTGCAGGGCAGGGCTCGAACCGCCGCCCTGCGCTTGGCAATCGAACACCTTGCCAGTGCACCATGGTGCCAACTGGTCAGGGGGCTTCGGGAGGATAGATAAGGGACACGGCAATGCCTGGACCCAGGCCGGGAATAGTGGGCCAGCATCCGAATTTATGCCGTTTTTAAGCTTAATTTCGGCCTCAAATGACTTTTTAACGCAAAGGCCGTCCCCTAGCCCGATGATTGAAAATACCACCTGAAAGGACATTTGTTAGGCCCACCTGAAGACTCGATACGGCAAGGAGCTCCAGAGCGTGCTGGACAACATCCTTTCGAAGTATACCCTCTGAGGCCCTCGGTTTCCAATGGTAAGTCTCTGACGGTAATGGAAACCGCTTCCGAATCTCCTTATTACTAATCTCCTTCCTCTCCTCTTTTCTTTCGAATCTCCTTTTACAAAATCAGCTGTTTTCGACATTGTAAAAATCACTGGCACTCACTTTGTTAGGCAAAAATTAGCAACGATTGGAAGCTGCGGTAGCCTATATAAAGGGACAGCGGGAGCGTTTTGCTTTTTTTCATCGCAGTTCGGGCGAATGATGCAGAGTGACGAATATCATAGAATCAAACAGGGCCAGGGTTGGAAAGTCGCGAAGCGGTTTTTCAACCCCGGTTGGGAATTAAAATAACAACCCAACCCGATCGCCTCAACGTCGTATTTTTAGGGAACATCGCTTCGGCCAACATCGTCTACGTTCTCGCGTCGATGATGCTGCGTCCGTCGCCGAGTTATGTCTGCGTCTCCTGTGACTGATCATGGGAATTGTGCTTTTCGATGTATATTGGTGTCATTCCTCGTGTTGCATTCAGTGAGGAATAAACGGGCAACGGAGACTGTGCCTCCTTACACATTGCGAGTCTAAACAGTTACTCTTACTCTTACACTTTTCTTCTTACTTCTCTTACTTCTCTTACTCTTACACCATCTGAGACAATTTCTTCTTTAGAGCCCGGGAAATAGCAAAACTTTTTATTTTCCGCTTGGGCTTCTCTTTAGATCGGTTTTGGATCCCCATCTGTACCTTTTGCAAAAAAGTGCAAAACCCTAACGGGCTTCTGTCGGTCAGAGGAACCGAACCAGCACCCTCTGCCTGGAGTTGGGACCGGCGCCTTACTAGGGAAGTGCAAATAAAAAATCCAGCAAACCGCTTAGTAAAAACATGGTTCTGATAGAGTCGGCGACGGGGATTCCGAAACTGCAATCAGAATTTGCAAAACGCTTAATACAAAAAAGTTATGGGCATTTTAAGTTTGGCAGCCCGTTTTCCGCCCTCCCTTATGAGCCCCTCCCAAAGTGGGGTGTCCACCTGTCGAGTGGTGTAGTGGCTAACTAGCCTGCCTCTGGGGCGTAGAACCTCTGGTTCGACTCCCGGGTCGTGCAAAACGTTTTGCTTTTTGGCCAAAGTCAACAACTTTAGACTTTTTCAAAGTTTCAAAGTCGAAAAGGCCGTTCTCTTAATTTTTAAATTCATGAAACCGATTACAAATTGCTGGCGGGAGTGCAAGTACTTTTGCAAGTCGCCGATGGCGCAGCGGTTAACGCATCCGCCTACGAAGTTTATTTTTGTCTTTGGTTGAAGGTTCGGTTCTTTTATGCGTGTTTCCTTTTGCGTTTTGAACCATGATGATATTTCCACACCTTTTAGGCATTTCCGGGCGATGGTGGAGGCATTAGCAACGTTTCCACGTTGGGCTAGGACAAGAAACAGGACTCTGGTCAAAATTTTCTCTGGGACTGTGACGGCCAATTTCAATTATTCAGATTCTTAAAACGCTCTGAAAATCACAAGTGTTTTTAAAAAACAAAAAGCAAAAGTAATTACCAATAACGGAATCGAACTAGCAACCCGAAGCAAAAAAGGTTTGGAAGACCGACGCTCTAGCCACTGCGGCACGTCTAGCGGTGGGAAGAAGGGACCGGAGGCCTCTTCCCCTTGGGGCTCGCTCGGGGCAGCAACGTGCCGACGTGGACGCATAAATTATCTTTTTAGTTTTTTAATTTTATAAAATCAAAGAAAGGCATTCTGCAAAAATGGACGCCGAGGGGTTGTTCAGAATTCAATTCTCTATCGAATGAGCTAGGTCTCAAAGGGATTTGCCGATGACACTCAAAAGGCACTCCTTGTAAGGGGTAGTTTGCGCATTTGGGGGGAAATTTATTGCCACAAACCGCATACAGAGAAGAATAAAGGGGGTGATGAACGGCATACGTGAATGTACGATACAAACAAAAAAGCAAAGGGGTGGGGATGATTCGCAATGTCGGGAGGTGGAAATTTTTTTCTAGGAGCGTTTTTGTACATAGCCGGAGAAACTGTTTCTTGCCACTCTTTTCGTTAATGTTCCAAAAAAGAACAAAAAAAAAATCGAGTTTCCGGCCAGAGATGTGGCATTTTTGCCTTTATACGAAACGGTGCGGTCGGCTATGAGTAAACTTCCCCCCGACATCGCGAAACTATGAGAGATCGAAATTCGGAACAGCGGTGGGCGGAGAGAGTAGTTGGGGAAAACATTCAACGGGTCAGTTAGCCGGGTATATGATCAGTCTAGCGGCTATTTGGCATCCGGCTTCGAGGTGGAGTCGGTGGTGGGGCTGGCGGCTGCGGTATCGGCGGTGGTGTTGGGCAGCTGGTCGAGGCTTTCAGTTTCGGGTATCTCGGGCGCCCCGGTTCCCGAGGCTTCGGCCGCTTCGAGGTCCAGCCCCTTCGCGCCGCCAACGCAAGACAGCGCCATCAGACGGCGATCGACGCGGCGGATCAAGCCGTTGTACTTAACCATTTGCACGTCGTGTGCGGGTGACTGCAAAGGTTGGTTTTGTGATAGACAGGGTGTCCCAATAAAAAACACCACCTCTAATTCAACAGCGAAGCGACGGATCGGAACGATAGTTACACCATTCGAAAGCCTACTAGGTAACGGCGAGTTTGCCGCAACCTTGAAAACCACGTTTTTCTTCAAACCTACTATTTCACGAGCCAGTTTGTAAAATTTTGCGGCCTTCGGGGTTGCATTCCAGCTAATTTGCATCGATTTCTCCCAGTAAAATAGCCGGAAATTACCGTTAATGGGATGCGGGGTCCGTGCCTTATTGTGCTTAAATTGATTGTAAAATGATGCGTATAAATATCAACTTGGTTTTGAAGATTGTTGCCTGTTTGCCGTTTTAAGGGCTTTCAAATGGTGTTAGTATCATTACGATCCGATGCTTTTGCGTCGAGTTAGCGGGGGGGTGTTTTATTATTGGGACATCCTGTGTTAGGGTCTCAGGGTCCCAGAGTTTTATAGTTCTTCACACCGTTTTTCGATACAAAAGGTTCATAAAATTAAAATGTTCGATATTTTGGATGGATTAAAAACCAACGAATGGGTTCATCCAGCCGGTTTTCCAGCCAACGTCGGGAGCGTAGGCGGAACCTTCGTGGAATTTTCCGAACGTCTTTCGTTGTTCAGCCTCGGCCAACCTGGGATTGAGACGTTTCGTCGAAAAGGTATTTCGCTCCCCCCTCAAACCCGTTGATCGCTAAGGGCCGAAGAAATTGTCCAAGGAATATCGATACAACACACGGGTGAAGCTGAAGCCCGCGTAAATTTAGTTTTTTTTTGGCTAAATTTCACTTTACGGTAACTAAATAAAATGTCGATTTTTCGATTGGAATCGATAGATCTCGTCGAGTTCTACCATTTCCAGTTGAAAAAACTATTGGGACTCACTCCTAAAAAAAGTTATAAACATTTTAAATTGGCTAGTTCACTTTACGGTAACTAAATAAAATGTCGATTTTTCGACTGGAATCGATAGATCTCATCGAGTTCTCGCGTTTCCCGTTGAAAAAAAGATTGGAACTCGCTTTTAACAAAAGTTATAGCTGTTTTAAACCAATTCACCCTGCATCGAAAAAGTCGGTGTCGGCTAGGAGGGACTCCTTTGTACGGAAAAAACGTAATAGTTGTGAACGTACTGGGGTACCAAATACGGGGCCGCTGCAAAAGGCACAGGAAAAACTTTATTATCACACATTTTGCGCTGCCTCCGAATTTCTGAATTTCTGAAACATCAAAAAGACGGTTTTGCAACGGAAGTCACTCAATTTGGAGGGAAGTGACCGCTACTTCCTCCGCTCTGCGACTAGAAAAAGGCTTCGTGCCACCCGGGGCCTAGTCGCTTCGGATGGGTGCGAGCTCGTACAGGGTTTCGAAATGGGGGCGCCAAGGCCGGCGAAGCGGCCGGGGGCGCCCCCCATTTCGAAAGAGTGGAGCGGCAGCCCATCCGAAGCGACGGCCCGCCTTGCCTGACAATTTCACAGTCAAAAATGTCAAAAATATAGTGTAGCTTCCTCCGAACAACTTTCCCAAACGTTTTTACAACTGTAAATGCTAGAACTCGACGAGATCTATTTATAGCAGGCGAAAAATCGACATTTTATTTAGTTACCGTAAAGTGAACTAGCCAATTTAAAATGTTTATAACTTTTTTTTAGAAACGAGACCCAATAGTTTTTTCAACTGGAAATGGTAGAACTCGACGAGATCTATCGATTCCAATCGAAAATTTTATTTAGTTACCGTAAAGTGAAATTTTCCCTTTTTTTTATCCCTGGCTTAAAAGGGAAGGGCATGCGCATGGATTCGGGAATTCGAACAAACGTTGCACAATCTCTGCACATCCGTTGTAGGGCTTTAAATCAAAACCAACCGTGCCTCCTTGAACTTTTTGTACTTGAGGATGAGAAGGAACAGCGTGATGGCCCCGACTAAAATGAAGCGTGGTATTATGTAAGCAGCATATCTGTCAGACTTGCGAAACTATCGATCGGACTCCTCGTTAGCAAAAAAAATTTATCTTTCTGATGGGCCTCCAAACGGAAAGCTTCAAAACATGGAAGTGCACAAGCCCAATCTTTGCTGGTGACGTTGGCCAAAAATTGCTTACCTACGAAGGTGACAATTGCCGCGATATTTGCGAAGTGAACCGGCCCGAGGCCTTCGGCATTTCTGCCGAGTGCCGTCATGATCCTTGTGTCTGTCGTGTCGAAGTCGGGCTCGATGCAAAAGCCCTGCAAAAAATTGGTTATTTGACAGAGGTGACCAGGGCCATACCACATCCGCATCCTCAGCCTTGGCGCAGTCGGTGGGCACGATTTGATACCTGGCCTTGTGACCGTCGGCGGCGGCCTTGTAGTAGGGATTGGTGGCGCAATTCAGGAACATGTTGTCCCGAATCAGCCCAAGTTGATGCTCCTAAGAGATGAGATATAATCCTCGTTATACGACGAGCGTCGTACCGCCAGGCCAGCCGTGGCTTGGATGCACTTCTTCGGGTAGGCCGACCCGTTGGTTCCCTTCCAGTTCAGATCTGTGATGTCCTTTTCCGGGAGGAACGACGCGTACGGTGGTGACTGAAAATAAATGCTATTCCGTCCAAGACGGTTCCCACCTGTGATCGGAAACCCTTGACGAACATCCCGTTCTCCCGAACGTCCAGTGGGATGCATGCCTTGTCGGCAAAGTGGTGGTCCGTATAACGGCACCAATCCACAAACTTTGACGGGTCGGGGGCAGGCAGGAATGTGCCCTTATCCTCAAAGTCGTCTGCGATGAAGTATCTGAAATAGTTGGCATAGACTAGCGCTGCAAATCGATTCCCCTACTTGCGGCCTTTGAGTGGTGGTGGAAGGCAGTCTTCCATTCCCAGCTGTTGCGGCGAGCACCACTGCAAACATCCGCATAAGGGTGCAGTTTAATAGTTT